GAGGATGAGTGCTCCAGGAAAAGTTGCTGGGTCGAAGGGGATGTACATTATCATTTTGATTGATAACCACCAAATGGCCCTCCAGGAGCGCATCCAAGTTTCTGCCCCCCTCACAGTGGATGAGAACTTGTCTCCTTCCGCCAGCCACACCCTGTGTTATCGCCTTGGACCGTGACTGCCCGATAGGTGCAGAAATGATCCCATGCAATCGGAGGGCATGATCCCATCTTGAAAAACAAGGGGACATGGTGCATCTGCTACTCTTGCCGTTGTGGTGAGGACCCAGCATGGTGTTTTCAGCCTTTTGGAGGCAGAGGAATAGAAATGGATTTTTGTTAACTGCTTATGACTGAATAATAGTTAAAACATTAAAAAGCAAATCAGTGCGCCCTGGCCGGTTTGGCTCAGCAGTAGAGTGTCGGCCTGCGGACCAGAGTCGTGTGTTCGATTCCAGTCAAGGGCACATACTTCGGTTGCAGTTCATCCCCAGCCCTGGTCGGGGTCCCATGCGGGAGGCAGTCAGTCAGTCAATGTGTCCCTCTCTGTTGAAGTTTCTCTCTCTCTTTCTCTCCCTCTCTCTGCCTCCCACTCTGTCTGCAGATAAATAGAAAAATATCTTCAGGTGAGGATTTAAAAAAACAACAACAGGCAAATCAGTACAATCCTATTATTTATTTATTACAGATGTCCTCCTTCCCCCCCCATTGTTAAGCTCCTCCCCTCTCCCGTCCCCCACCACCTTCATCACACTATCGCCTGTGTCCATTGGTTATGCATCGATGCAATCCTTTTTTAAAAAATAGGTGACCTGACATGCTAAATGAATCGTTAGAAGCTACGTGCTGTTCGGTTCTACTTATGAGGGAGCATCCTCTCTAATCTTGTTATGACATACAGGACTTAAGATCAAGGAGTCACTGAAATGTAGTGCCATCAACCTAAGTGAGGTCAGCTGCTGTCCCCAGTGACCTCTTGTCTGGACCTTTACCAGCTCTGGTCTTGGTGGAGTTCCGCTGCCCTTGCCACATCCATGAGATACAATGCAAGCATTTGGCAAAGACAAAGGGTGATCACAGTGCCGGGTTGCAAGGGTGTTTGGGGATCCTCTCCCCCAGTTTTCTGTTCACTGGGAAGGCACGGAGAAGGATTGCATGTGGGACTTGCCTTGAACAAGGGGATATGGTTTTTCGGTTTTTAGATCCCCGGACTGCTGCAGGTGAATTAGGTAGGGTTTCAGGAAAAGGAAGTTTATCCTACAGGCTTTATATACAATAGTGGACTGAGTGTGTGTAGCAGAGTGTGGGCAGGGAAGGGGTTCTGGAAAGGACTGTCAACAGAGGCTTAAGTTAATTTATTGGTAAACGTAATGTGGTCTACCACATTATGAAAACACAAAGAAAAACATATTACAAACTACCAAAACAGGACTAAGTACCTCAACACACATAAGCTCCCCCAGGGCTTGCTCACTCTGCCCCTGAACCTGGAAGCTGGATCGGAGCCCTGCCGGTCCTGGCTGAGTGAGCTGCTGGCCTGGGCAGCCCTCCCAGGACTCCGAACGTGCCCACAACGTTCAAACTGAAAACACCAAGTTCTAAACGTCAAAACACAGCGCGAGCTCCTTTATCTTGCACGTCGGGGTGCCAGTTAGGCCTCAGTTTGGGTTAAACCAGATCCGGTTTGGCGTCCTTGTTCTGGGTGGACGAGAAAGCACGGGCCACACACGTAAGTGTTCTCCACTTTCCCGGTCCATTCAGGCAGCCATCTCCAGTCTCCTCCTCCCACTGGGCCTCGGACCTCAGACCGCGGGGGCAAACGCCTCCCCCGTCCCCTCCATCCTGACTGCACCTCCAGGTTTCCTCTTTTTAAATCAGCTGTATTGAGATGCAATTCACATAATATGTAAAACTCAGCTGTTGAAAGTGCATGATCCGGTGGTTTTTAGTTCAGAGAGTTGTGAAACCATCACTGCTATTAATTTTAGAAATTTCCATCACCCCGGAAAGACACCCTGTGACCTCTAGCAGTCCTCTGCGATCCTGCCGTTCCCTCTGCCCCAGGAAACCGCTAATCTGCCTTCTGTCTCTACATGTGCCTATGCTGGACTTTTCAGATAAATGTCACCTTTTGTGAATGACGTTTTGTTTCCACGTGGCACAATGTTTTCAAGCACTATCTGTGTTGTAATATATATCAGTCATTCCATTTTAGGCCCCCAAAGGTTCCATTGCAGGGATAGACCACCTTTCGTGTACCCATTCACCAGCTCATGGGCGTTTGGTTGTTTCCACTTATTGGCTGTCATGAATCAAGTTGCTATGAAGTTTTTGTGTGGCCATATCTTTTCATTTTTCTCAGCTATGTACTCAGGAGTCGAATTGCTGTGTCATGTGAGAACTCTGATGAACACTTTGAAGAACTGCCAAACTGTGTTCTCAAGTGGTTGCACCATTTTACTTTCCCATCCGCAGTGTACGAGGGCTCCGATTCTCCTCATTTTCAGCAACACTCGCTATTTTCTGTCTTTTGGCTTAAAGCCATCCCAGTGGGTGTGAGGTAGCACCTTGATATGATTTTGATTTGTATTTCCCTGATAACTAATGATCTTGAGAGTTTTTTTTCATGTGCTCAGATTTTTATGTGTCTTCTTTGGAAAGATTTCTGTCTCCTTAGATTCTTCGCCCAATTTTTAATTGGGTTATTTATCTTTTTATTATTGAGTTAAGAATTTTTTTATGTACTCTAGATATAGGATTTGCAGATGTTTTCTCTCATTCTGTGCTTTGTCTTTTCACATTTTTGATGGTGTCATTTGCAACACAAAAGTTTTTAATCAAGATGAAGTCTAATGTATCTATATTTTCTCTTGTCACTTGTGTTTTTGGTATTGTGTTGAAGTCTTTGCCTTACCCAAGGTCACAAATATTCACAAATTTGTACTCCTGTGTTTTCTTTTAAGAGTTTTGTCATTTTAGATTTTACTGTTAGGTCTGTGATCCATTTTGAGTTAATTTTTGTGTATGGTGTAAGGAAGGGGTCTGATTTCTTTCTTTTGCGTGTAGATATCTATTTTAATTTGTCCTAGTAGCATTTATGGAGTGTTTTTTCCCCACTGAATTGTCTTAGCTCCCTTGTTGAAAATCAGTGGGTGTGAGGATTTATCTTTGGACTCCCAATTCTGTTCCATTGATCTATATGTGTGTCCTTAGGCCAGCACCACACTGTCTTGATAACTGTAGCTTCATAGTGTCTTATCTTCTAATGAGAAAGTTAGGGCAGGACTGTGCAATCTGACTTTTTCTTTCCTTGGTAAGAATCCAGTTATTGGATTCTTGAGATCCCTCTTCAAGCTTTCAGCCACACTTTATTTCTCCTCGTTCATCTCGTCGGTTCAAGTAGGAGATGATGTCCAAGAAGTGCTGAGAAATCCCAGCTGCGGGGCCCCTGCGTTTCCTGGCTGTGTCAGCTAGCTGTGCTCTGATTCGGTAGCTTGGCTCTGGGCTCGCCCAGATGTATAGAATTAAACATGTGGTTGAGAAAAGATGCACTGGTTTCTGAAACTCTCTGATTGGTTCAGTTCGAGATAATACAGCTTACTGTACTGTTAGAAAATTGTAAAGATCTTTCTGAACGGCTGTGCAGGCCAGCAGGCCACCTGGCAGACAGCCGTCCCAGGTGGGCTGTGACAGAGCCTTTAGGCCAACTCGTGGTGCCCTCCCTGGGCCTTCCTTTCCTCGCAGGCATCTGTGTCGTTGTTTTCATGGGCATTCACTTTGCTAATATTGGCATCGTTGTCATAGCGGAGAAATGGAAGGCGGAGGGGTCTCCTGGGGGGGTGGAATTCTGGACAAGGCCACTTATTAACCCTTCAAGTTACCGAGCCAAAAGTAATGTCCATGTGACATCTGGAGCCAACAACAGCCGTCCTGTAGGTGTCGCCGTTCCTTTCTGCTAGGACTGTGCAGCACAGCCCGTTGCAGACGTAGTGCTTGAGCTTGCACTCAGAACTACGTCACCATTTAAGCCAATTTTAATTTCCTGATTTGTACTGGACACTAAGAAAGCATGTATTCACAGAAACTGTCCTTCATCGAGAGCTTCCATTAAGGATGTTGTGAGGTGTCAGGGATGTGGACTCTCCAGAGGCAGTGGTCACAGGTTATAGAACGGGGTGTGGATCCAGTCTGCCCAAATGCATTTCCTCCTACGTAGACGTGGACAACGTCCTAAGTCTGCCCGTGCCTCAGTTTCTTAGTCTTTAAAATGAATAGTCTTTATGAGAATAGTACCCCGCTCCTGGAGTTGTCCACGGGTTGAAATCCCGTGTGAGCCTCCGTGGTTGCCTGAGCATCTTCTAGCTCTCTCTCCTGGGTGCTTCCGGCTGTTATGGCTTCTTTTTCTTCCTTTCTTGCTCGCACGAGGACCTCCTCTGGATGCCAAGGGCTTCACCCAGGCGAGGGCTGACAAACTCCCCCTGTAAAGAGCCACATGACTAAGGGCGTTAGGCTTTGTGGCATGAAAGCAGCCACAGGCAGGGTGTCCATGACGGGTGCGGTGGTGTTCCGGCAACACCCAGTAACACTGCATTTTTCATAGCAGGTGGCAGGCTGGACTTGGCCTCCCAGCTGTAGTGTGCCAACCCTTGGCTTAGCATAGTGCCTGGCAAGACATTGTGGTTTTTTTTTTAAGGAATAGTTTATTGACTTTTTTTTTTTTTTTTTTTTTAAGAGAAAGCGGAAGGGAAGAGAGAGAAACATCCATGTGAGAGTATAACATCGATCAGCTGCCTTCTGCACACCCCCTACTGGGGATCAAGCCCGCAACCCGGGCATATGCCCTGACCGGGAATTGAACCAGGAACCTTTTGGTGCACAGGACAATGCCCAACCAACTGAGCCACACCCAAAAGATTCCAGGGCACATCACAGTTTTTAAGTAATTGTCAGCCATCCTCAGAGCTGGGGACTGCTCCCTGACACTGGTTTCCATGTTTTTAACAGAATGTTGAGGTCCTGGCCCGTCGGAACAGCACCTCACAGCAAACCCAGATGGGGGCCGAGGTGCAGGTGAAGGCTCTGGAGGAGGAGAACGAGAGGCTGCGGGGAAGCCGTGGCGAGCTGGAGCAGAGCGTTGCTCGGCTTCAGAGGCAGATTGCTGACCTGCACGGCGATGAAGCCAAAGCGAAGGACACCCTCAAGAAGTACGAGGTAAGGCTCGCGGGGTCCCCCTGGGCAGCTGCAGGTCCTCCTTTCCTGTATGAGCGTTTTCAGCAGAGAAAGGGATTTATTGTCATAATTTAGTAGGAAAGATCAAAGTACTTGTGACTGTGTCCTCTCTGCAAACCATTCTTTCTGTTTCTCTACAAGCGGTTTGAATGGGAGCTGAGCTTCTAACGGGGCCTGGGAACAGGGCTGATGTAAGGGTGGGAAACCCGTGTGTAGGCACGGGAATCCCTGCTCATGCAGACATCAGACACGCTCAACTTTGACACTGAGCACAGGCCTCTGCATTCCTGGAACGGGCATCTTTAATACCACCGCCAGGTCCGCTCTTCCTCATGACTGTTCATTCTTTGTTGACAAACAGTTGAGGGTGTTCGACGTCACCGATAGAACAAACCAACTCTCTGGTTTGCCAGGTCTGGAGGTGGGAGGCTGGTCGCCAAGGACAGGTAGTGATGGCTGCTGCTAATAAGAGGGGACAAAAGACATGGAACGGGAGGTGTGTCCAACAGAGGTTCCCCAAATGGTCATTCCTCCGAAACACCGGGGAGCCTTTTCCAACTCTGTGTGCCTGAGTCGGTTCAGTGCCTGCTCCAGGGCTGAGGCTGGATATCTGTATTGTCCAAAAACCACCCCAGGGGATTCGGATGTTTACGTCTGGCTGGTTACGGAACCGCAGACAGGCACACACATCCAGGAACACGGCTGTTGTGTGCCGTCTCGGGGCCGTGACACTGCTGGCGGTGTCTGTGGCTGTCTCCTTCGCTCCTGCACGCCTCCGAGCCGGCTGCACAGGCGGAGCACACGTCTGGACGCCTTGACCCGTGTCTCATTGTAGGGGGAAATGCGGCAGTTGGAGGAGGCCCTCGTGCGTGCAAGAAAGGAAGAAAAAGAAGCCATGGCAGCCAGAAGGGCCCTGGAGAGTGAGCTGGAAGATGCTCAGGTAAGCACCGAGCGCTCTTGTCTTTACCCCTGACACAGGAAGCCCAAGAAGCAGAATCGGAGGGACCTGTGAAGATTGCCACTGGTCCTCGCCTTCCAGGTAGCACCTTCATAATAAGCACCCTGACTTCAGGGCATGTGGCAATATCCGGAGACAGTTTGGGTTGTCACAATAGGGGCGATGCTGTTGGTATCTAGTGGGTACCGGCCAGGGATGCTGTGAAACATCTACAGTGCACGGGACAGCCCCAAGGGTCAGTAGTACCGAAGCTGAAAATCCTGGTCTAGATATTAAAGAGCCTGACAGCTTTCCACAGACAAAATGTGAATGGTATGAGAAGGCCAGCAGGTGTCCCCAGGCAGTGTGCGTTAGCTCTCTGGCAGGTGCCGCGTTCCTCTCTCCTCTGGGCAAACAGACTGCGGAGAGTGCAGGCACCTCCTTCCTTCTACCTGCTCTCGGGTTTTAAAGAACCAGCACCAGCAGGAAAAAAGGGGGGCATCTGTAGTACTTTCAACAATAATGAATGAATGAGTGAATGAATGAATGAATGAATAGATAAAAGGAGCAGGAGGGAGTTGTTTCCTTGAAACTAGATAGCTATCTCTATTCAAAATCAGTAGGTTCTTAGAAAATTAGATTTTCCTTTTGAAGGTTAGAAAGCTTGATTGAAGCACATGCTTAAAAACAGTCCGCACCGAAGCTCTAAGTTGACTTTGCACAGTGACCGCCACGTCATGGAGGAATCTCCTTCCTCCTACCTGCTCCCGGGTTTTAAGGAACCAGCACCAAGCACCCCTCAGGCGGGTTTCTGAGAAGGTGGAGTGGTGTTTGGAGCAGTTGTCTAAGGAGGTTGGTAAAGGTTTCCTCAGGGCAGGTGGGGGAGGGGCCCACGCAGCGTGGTGAGAGCTGATGGCAGGCAGGATTCGCACTGGTCCAGGCCCAGTGGCGGCTCTCGGCTCTCGTTTCCACATCCATCGGTATCTCTTCAGGGTAGAGGAGAGGAGCCTGCCTGTACTAGGGTTCCCAGGTCCCCATAACTCAGGGGCCCTCAGCCCCAATCAGTGGTCTCCACCTTCTTTCTGGCTTTGGACAGAGACCTTGTATCATATATAGTAAAGCCCTGCTTTTTCCTGAGGTTGGTATCTGAGTGTCCTTGCTCTGGGTTTCCTGTGCGCACACATTCTCTCTCTCTCCTCTCTGCCTCCCTCCTTTCCTTCCTTCCCTCCTTCCTTTCCTTCCCTCCTTCCCTCCCTCCCTCCCTCCCTCCCTTCCGGATCTTTGTTACAAACTCTTGCTGGGTTGATCTTGTGTGGATGGCCATTTCGCTGTGCTGCTGTTTAAGGCTTATGGCTACAACCCAGCCGCCAAAGTGTGGGGTTTAAATCTGTGAGCTGGTTGGGGACCGAAAGAGAGGAGAAACATTTGTAGTCAACAGGGACGGAAATGTGCACCTTCATGTCACCTCCACACGCGGGGCTGGGGCAGCGTCTGCAGCTCTCGGTTTTCCTTGTCCTTGGGCCAGACCAGAAGCGTCCTGTGTAAGGACGGAGCTCACCACCTGTGAATCCAGGCTCCTGGCTAACTCGGGGGAGTGAACAGAGGACGGTCTCAAGGCCTGACGGTCTGAATGTGATCCTCGCCCACCCCACCTCTGGATTGCCGTCCTTGCCTTGGAAGTTATCCCTCCCGTGTTGCTTTGTTGGGGCCTGTTTCCCAGGGTGCGGAGATGAGAGGGTGCCTCGTGCAGGGTGTGGCCAGCAGGGCCTCATGCGGGCCCAGCCTCCTCACCTTCGTTAATCGGAATGGTCTGGCCTCACAAGCAGCGCTGTGCAAAATGCACCGTCACCCTAGCACACTTCATTCTCTCTGAAATCCGGAAGCAGGTACTTAGCTCCTTCGGTTCCATACATGCTCCCTTCCCAAAGCCGGCCATGGAAGGGGCTTAACTCCGAGGGGAAGAGGAAAGAATAACTGGGTTTTTTCACATAAGCATTTTATATTTCAGAGTCTCTGTGCCCTTAGCAATCTGCTGCATCTTCTCGTGTGATAAGCACACTTCTTTACAGTAGCGGAGGACCGTGTGAACTTGGGTCTGATTTATTGTGACTTGGTCAGAAAGTGGCAGTGGGGCACCTGCCACCTGATTCGGGATGGTGCTGCTGTGCCGATCGGCTTGAGCTTCCCTCAGGCAGAGGCCTTGACTCTGGAGAAACAGCCTCTGCCTCTGGGGAGGTGAAGAAACCGTCACTGGAGAAGCCACAGTTTTTTCCTCCGGGGAGGGAGGAGGATTTGTATTCCATATGCCTTCACCTCTCCACCTGGACTTCTGGGTATTGAGATGACAGAATTAAAACGCCACAACTTCCACTGTTGGAGGCCAGGTTGTCCTGTGCCAAGGGCCCCCGAGGAGACCAGCTTCCTCTCCAGCCTCTCGTTCCTTAAGCCCCGAGGCTCACCCGCCACTTGGGCGTTGTTAATGTGGACGGATGGGGCCACCTCAGTCGCGCAGTAAGAGGCTCTACCTCCGTCGACAGAGAATGGTCCCCACACTCAAGGGCCCACCCACATCCACCAACCTTGTGTTTCGGATTTTTTTGATAAATTTTCCCCAGGTTTTGATCCCAGTGTGAGTCGAGGGCTTGTGTTGCTGGTCTGGGAAGTGCAGTCCCTGTAGCTGCAGAGTGTTTCGCTCCGAATGCTGGATGCCAAGGTGCCCGCTCGGCTTCTGTTCCCGTGGACGTGGGTCGCGTTTTCTCAGCAGCGACGTGTCGGTGTGCGTGTCTGGAATAACCAGGGGAAGGGCACTGTGCTAAACAACATTTCTAAACTTCAGATTATATTAGAATTACCTGGGTAACTTTCTTTCTTTCTTTTTTTAAAATCCCCACCCAAGGATACTTTTTTCCGCCTTTATCTTCAGATAGAGCAGAAGAGAGAAGGAGAGCGAGAGAGAGAAATACATTAATGTGAGAGACACATCAGCTGGCTGCCTCCCGCATGACGCAACCAGGGCCGGGACCAAACTGCAAGTAGGCACGTGCCCTTGACTGGAACTGAACACTGAACCCACAACTCTTTGGTCTGCAGGCTGACGCTCTAACCACTGAGCCAAACCGGCCAGGGCTTACCGGGTAACTTTCAGATGTGTGGGCCCCACTGTAAAGAAAATTGTGGATTCTAGCAGAAAGGGCTAGAATCTGCATTTTAAGGAGGGAGTACTCCACGGTTGCTTGGTGATTCTGATATAAGAAGTCTTTAGACTACTTTCGGGGACAGATAGTAACTCTCAACCAGTGGGTTTTTATCTTCGCCGTGAATCTGAGCTGAGACAGCCCCAGACAGGAAATGAATTCCTTGCCTTTACAGATCTCACTGTCCTGCAAGAGAGGCGAGCGTGCCCGAAATAATTTAAAAAATCATTTAGCCAAAACTGTTCTTTTAGGAAATGTGTGTGTGTTGAGGGCAGGTGGGGTGGGGGGGGGGGTCCTTGGTCTGCAGTGGCACAGCGGAGCGGAGCTGGGAGGCGAGCCCACCGCAGCCCGGGGGAGCCGAAGAGCACACATCGCAGGACTGCGTGGAGCTGGGGCCGGCTTGTCTGCTGACCTGGAGCCCTGGGGTTGGCATCCAGGAGGAGGAAAAAGAGAGGCTTGGGGCCCTGGCCAGTTTGGCTCAGTGGTTAGAGCACCAACCTGCAGACCGAAGGGTCCCAGGTTCAATTCCTGGTCAGGTGCACGTACCTGGGTTGCAGGTTTGATCTCCGGCTCTGGTCGGGGTCCTGCGGGAGGCAATCAGTCGATGTGTCTCTCTCATATTGATGTTTCTCTCTCTCTCCCTCCCTCCCTCTCTTCCAAAAAAAATTAATGGAAAAAATATCTTTGTGTGGGGATTAACAACAACCAAAGGGGGGGGGGGGCTGGCGGAACCCGGAGGGGCAGGGGTTGAGTTGGATCTTGAAGTTTCTGTGGGAAGCCACTGATCACCTTCTGTATTTGTACTGTATTAGTTTCATTCTGAGATACGTGCTTCTGAGAGTTTTCTGCCACACAGCGGAGCCATACATCGCTTACCTTGCCCTGTGTGGTCCCCTTGCCCCCAACAGCACAACATCAGCGCAGACAGACCCCTGTCTCTGCTGTGTGCCCGCAGGGCTGTGGGAAGCACTCCTGCTATTGTCTTACACTGAACTTCTGACCACCTTTCTTTAGCACCTTTTCCCCAACCGCTTCTGTTGACGTTGGTTCCCCACAGCGATTCGCTTCAGTGCCCGGCTGGGCTGGCTGCATTTTGTGTGTAGCCAGAGGAGCAGAGAAGGCCTGCACAGGTGGCTTTTTGGTTCCAGGTCGGGTAGTTGGCCAGCAGAGCTGTTCACAGGTCCTGAGTTTATTCGGGAGTGTTTTTAAGATGCTTGGGTTATTGCAGCAGCTTGTAAACAGTTAAGCACTGTAAACATATAAGCCTTTGTCCATATCCAGCCTCTGCAGGGACGCAGACTGAGTAGGTCCTCAGCAGCACCTGTACGAACCCACATTCAGCTCTCAGCACCTCATAACCTTCCGGATGATCCAGCCCATGTTGGGTCCTTCCGCCCTGTCCTGAGCTGTGCCTCTTCTGGACATCCTCACACCAGTCGGCACTCCACCGTTTCAAGAAGCCACTGTGCCCTTCCTAAGATACTTTAGGATTTTGTTTTAGAATTGCATGTTTTTTACATCAGGGGCTTCAGTCTGTGGGAGGTTGTGAGATGAGAGACCCAGGGAAACCCAGGGAAATACCACCACCACGATGGTTGCATTTTATAGTAACTACTGGTATTTGGCACTGATGCACTTTTTCTGGCTGCTATCTCTTCCATTTAACACCTCCTACTTACTAAGTTCACCAGCCTGTGGACTGTCGAGTTCTTTCTCTTCTGTGTGAGTCCAGCCCGTGTATTCTGTTGATTACAGCTTCTTGTACCCACGTGGACCCCTGGCCTGTAGACAGTGTCCTCTGCCCTCACAGACTCATCGTTCGCCGTGTGAACAGTGATGGTCATCTGCACAGCAGCGTGGATTCAAGAACGTTAGGCACAGTGCTGTATGTCGCAGGATGTAGATGGCCACGAGGGCTTGCTTGGTCTCATGGATAACCTGACCTCACTTTTCTAGCATGAACAGCCAGGTTTTCAGACTCTAGCCTGGATCGCCACCCCCAGCAGCCTCAGCCGTTTTGCACCTACCTGCTGTCTGCCTCTGTGTCTTTGGCTAAGTCAGAGTGGCCCCAGAATTTCAGAAGCAGCAATGTTCTTGGGTCTCTGGGATGGCTTTACTTTGATCTTTTTCCTTATCACCAGTGTAACGCGTCTGATTGCTTTGTGGTGTGGTTGTGAAAATCCCTCTGCCCTGTTCCTGTGGCTGACCCGGTAGGTTGATGACAACACTGTCCTGTCCCTGCCATCTGCAGAGAAATCTGAGCCGGGCTACCCAGGAGCAGAAGCAGTTGACTGAGAAGCTAAAAGATGAGACCGAGCAGAAGGAGCAATTAAGGAGACTGAAGAACGAAATGGAGAATGAGCGATGGCACCTTGACAAGACCATTGAGAAACTGCAGAAGGAGGTGAGGGAGCAGGGAGAGGAGAGAGAGCGGAACTCGGGAGGGAGCCTGGGGAGGAGGAGCAACACCTGGGGGGGGGCAGCCCTCGGAGGGCCTGACGAAAGCTAAGGAGACCTGCCGTCGTGTGTAACCCCAAATGTGTCAGGGGTCTGCAGATCCCCTGAAACAGCTCTTTGGGCTTGTAGAGATACAGAGAAACTGATTTAGAATATGCCAGTACCCTCTGGACTCTGGGCCTGGCTGCTTCCCAGTTACAGGTGACTGAACCCAGACGGCCCATGCCTGGGAGCTTTGCAGAGTCCCTGAGGAGGCTGGAGAAGAAAGGGGAGGAGAGGTGCTCGGTGTTTAGAGGGCCCCAAACCTAGCTCCGTATGGGGTGGGCTCACCTGTGTCACTTCTTCCAGATGGCTGACATTGTCGAGGTGTCCCGCACATCAACACTGGAGCTCCAGAACCAGCTGGATGACTACAAGGAGAAGAACCGCCGGGAGCTTGCAGAAATGCAGAGGCAGTTGAAGGAGAAAACCCTGGAGGCAGAAAAGTCCCGGCTGACTGCCACGAAAATGCAGGAGGAGGTAACACCTGGCCAGCCTGTGGTTCCGCCCTTAGTCAGAGTTTCCTGCCACACTGTGAGCCTCCTCTGGGAAGACCGGGGTAGATCCTAAAGTCAGCCCTGTGCAGGCGCCCCCGTCTCAACCCTCTGGATGGTTACACGGGCAAATGGTGAAATGGACAGAACAGGAACGTCACCGTTTCCTTAACGAATCCAAGAATTTCTGCCTAAAAAGATTATCTGCCATTTATGGAGCTCTCGTGGTATGCCCAGCGGTGTCCTAATGATTTATAGGTATTAATGTTTTAATCTAGTCCCAGGACAGGGATTGTAGTGACCATGGTTTGTTTAGAAAATACAGACTTGTACTGGAGTGGGAGTGAGCGGTAGGGAAGAGTTTCAGAACAAGGATCATGGAGACAAAAGACGTCTTCAGGAATTTATGAGGATTGAAATGATTGAAACATAGTTTTGGTTTTATATCGAAGAATAGTAGAGCAAAGTAACCCCAATGTTAGCTCCCTTCAGTCTTGACTTCTAAAGAACTGAGAAACATAAAGGGGCTGGTTTTGATCATTTTGATGGGGAGCCAAGGGTTTAAAGTGCAAATCGAGTGAACGCTGATTTCTGGCTGTGCTTTTTGCTGGCCGGGTGACCTTGAGCTGGATGGCCTTGAGCACGGCCCCCCATTTTTCTGAGCATCCGTTTGTTGCTCCCTCTTTAAAAATATACAAAATAATAATGACAACATGCAGGACTTAGTATAGCAGAGGGTCGGTATATCCTGGATACTTATGTTATTATTTTTTTATATTAAGTCTTACATTTTTTTCATAAGCAGTGCCAAGAACACTAAAATTCCAGGGGAAAACAAGTTTTTCTTCACAAAACAAACTTTTAATGTCTTTGATGATCAAAGAGAAGTCGCCCATGAGTCAGTGTTGCGAGTGTGTGGAAGAACAATGGGTATTTATGACAGACTTCTAGAACACTTCTGAAAGGATCCTGATAACAGATCCAAGTAAAAACTGAAATTAGTTTATTGACATCACAGTTCTCTTTGACATTAAAAAAAATCATTTTCATTGCTAGAGCAGCTGGGGCGGGGGATTCTGATAGTCACCAGGATGCCAACACCTGGTGTGCAGTTTGATCCGAGGAAATCACAGTGTCAGGGTGACCCCTGCCAACAGCTTCTGTTGCCTTTTCTATGACAGTTACTCTGCTGGAGTCTTCAGATTGGAAGGAACCTTAGTGATCTTCGAGTTAGATAAGGAAACTCGGGTCCAGAGAGATTAGTTAAGGTCAGGTGGAGACCAGTGTTATCTATAAAATAGTACTAATTCAAAAAAAGCGTTGCTTCTGATGAAAACAAAGATGGCCCTTAGATTTTCTCCATGGCAAAGCCCTACACTGTCACCTCATCATTTTGAAAGGAAATGACAGATTGTGCCCCCCCCCCCAAGCTGCTGAAGTCAAGGAGTTAAGACAAAAGTGAATTAACAAGTCAAGATCACCCCAGATTCTGAAAAAGTCAAGCTCAACTCTGTTCAGCGCCTCCCCCCGCCCCCCCCATCCTGAGTTAAAAAAAAAAGCTGCAGGGGTTTATCCTAGGTCCTGTCACACCAGCCTTCTTTGCTTTGAGGGAAATAGATGTTTTACCTATTTAGCCTTTGTTGTGGTGGAGCTGGGAAGTTCTGATGCAGGTAATCTTTATTATTATAATTATTTTTTGTTAACTGTCACCCGAGGATATTTCTCCATTGATTTTTAGATAGAGTGGAAAGGAGAGAGGGAGGGAGAGAGAAACAGATGGGAGAGAGACACATTGTCTGCCTCCTGCACAACCATGACCAGGGCCGGGGATCGAGCTTGCAACCCAGGTACGTGCCCTTGACTGGGAATTGAACCTGCGACCCTTCGGTCCATGGGCTGACACTCTAACCACTGAGCAATCCCAGCCAGGGTGGATGTAGGTACTCTTTAGAAAATTAAGACTTAGAATGATGTTGTTCAGTTCACCTTCTAAATCTCACTTAGCAAAGGGCAGTTTTAACTCTCGAAGGCAGATGCTTCGAAAGGTATTGGCTTAACTGCGAGTCCAGACACGGCACAGCTGTGCTCTTCTGTGTATACTTGGCAGGTCTCTTACCGGGTCTCTCAGCGTGCAGAGCCCTTGAGATGCTCCAGGACGTCTGGGGTTGGGCGGTAGGCATGTGCTGGGCATCAGGAAGACACCAACAAGGAAATGCAGGCTGTCCATTTGCCTGTCAGTCTTTCTGACTCTTAAACCCATGTTCTTTTCTGGTACTTTATTTGATTCTCATAACAGCTCTATAAGGCCGGTTTTAAAATTACCTCAATATTGCACATTGGGAAATGGAAGCACAAAGATGATACTTTTAAGACATTCTTTGGAGAGATTTCAAATGTTCTGGGGTATAGTGCACCCTTTGTAACCAAAGCCTAACCCCAACCCCAACGCTACCCCTCATCCCAACCCATCATTCCTTTTCATGGGCTGGCGTTCACTTTGAGCTGTCACTCACAGTTTCGTTTCACAGTCGTCTTTTCGCTCAGTTACCACCCAAACCAGACCAGGATTTTATGGGGAGGAGTCTTCCTCAAGGCTGTGCTGTTTTCACAGAAACATCAGGTGATCCCGCCCCCGAGAGAGGAACACATTTTTTTTTTTTTTTTTTTTATCCTCACCCGAGGACATTTTTCCATTTTTTGTTCAGGTAGAGTGGGAGGGAGAGAGAGAAACATCGATGTGAAAGGGACACATCGAGTGGCTGCCACCCGCACGACCAACCAGGGCTGGGGACAAACTGCAACCGAGGTACACGTCCTTAGCGGAACCGAACCCGGGTCTCTTCAGACCGCAGGCCGACGCTCTAACCGCTGAGCCAAACCGGCCAGGGCGGAACACATTTCTGAAAGTTTTTCCACTGGTCTTCCTAACTAGTCTTCCTAACCTGTTGGGTCCTCCTGCTCCCCACCCCAAGAACATCTTTAGGGCTTTCCCAACTTTTCTGTGAAAATCAAGTGAGAGTAGCCCTGGCCGGTTTGACTCAGTGGTTGGAGTGTCGGCCCGTGGACCAGAGAGCCCTGGGTTCGGTTCCCGCTAGGGGCACGTACCAAAAAAAAATAAATCAAGTGAGGGTATTCTTTCATGGAGTTTGCCACTTACTCTCATGTACTCCCTGCAGGAAACAACCCCCTGGTGTGGTCTATTCCAAGGCTGCTCTCAACCACCTCCAGGAGGGTAGAAAGTTGAGAACTAACCAGACAGCCTTAGGCTTCACTGGATCTGTCCACACAGATGTGTGGCGGAGGTGGCCCGTCCCTTCTGGGAGAGTCCAGAGTAGTGGAAAACACAGACCGCCCCTTGTGAAGAAGCTCTTGTCTGCCGCAGCCTTCAAAGCTGTTAGTTCAGTGCCCCCTTGTGGATGAAAAGAGCACGTCCGTTAAGACTGCTGGTTTTCTTTAGAGAGCAGCGGTTTTCACCTGGCAGGCATGTTTTGTGCCTGCAGGTTGCTTTGGGGCCATTCATTTGGTTTTAATTTCTCCCTAACTTTAAACCTCTGTTGAGGTGATGCTGATCCAGGTGGGCAATCAGTTATCTTCTGGGAAAGCACTTACCTAGCTCAGTGGATGCCAGTGTTTCTGATTGGGACCTAAGGTGAGAACTACCTCTTGCATTGCAACCCAGTGATACATTCATCCCTACAAACATATGAATATTAAATGCAGAAGTTTCACAAAACATTATTTGCTTGTACTCTACTCTGAGTATTTTTTCTGTCATATTTAATTTTAAAATTCTGGTGGACATCTGTATTGAATTTATAACTCAATGGGTTGCTGCTACCTATAGCTGGAACCTCTCCATCTCCCTTTGTTTTGTTTTGTTTTTGGTTAATCCTCACATGAGGATATTTTTTGCATTTCATTTTTTAGAGATAGTGGAAGTGGGTGAGAGAGGAAGGGGGAAAGGGAAAAAGAGAGAGAGAGAGAGAGAGAGAGAGACATAGATGTGAGACAGACACATCAATTGGTTGCCTCCTACACAATCCCAACTGGGTCTCGGGATTGAACCTGCAACCCAGGTACTTGCTCTTGAACCAGGAATTGAACCTGAGACCCTCAGTGCATGGGCCAACACTGTAACCACTGAGCCACACAGGCCAGTGCAACCCTTCCCCCCCCTTTCTTTTATAGACGAGGAACAGGCTCTGAGGGTGGTGGCACTTGCTCAGGTCCTCTGACCCTCCGCAGGCTCTGCTTCCGCACTGTCTGTCCAGAGCCCTGTGCTCCTGACGTGCCCCAGCTAAACACCCAGCCCCTTCTCGTTCCAGATGCGCCTGATGGAGGAAGAGTTACGGGACTACCAGAGAGCTCAGGAAGAAGCCCTCTCGAAGAGGCAGCTTCTGGAGCAGACGCTGAAGGACCTGGAGTATGAGCTGGAGGCCAAGAGTCACCTCAAAGACGACCGCAGCAGACTTGTCAAGCAGATGGAGGTCTGTGGGCGGCACCGGGGCCTGTGGAGAGCGGGTGTGGGACACGAGGGACGCAGCCTCTGCTCATACCTCAGCCTCTGGGGAGCCTTTGCTCTGTAGTCTCTCAAACAGCCAGACGTTAGTCATTTCTTGATTCGGGGAAGCATAGTTCATAGACTCACTGGACTTTGGAGCTGGAAGGAATGATGGAGGTAATTTAGCTCAGGGTCCTCATTGCCTGGAAGAGGAAGCAAAGCAGAGTCCCAGAGAGTTTAGCTGCTTTTACACGAGGGCACATAGATAGTTCACTTTCTGCGTGCTGCTTGGGCTGTGCTTCTGACAGTGAAGGAGACGAGACTGCAGCAGGTCCAGGAGGGACGGAGCTGTGCCTTGAGTCCAAACAGCCTCACCCTCGGGACACCCCGCACTTGTTTGCCACTCCACGTGCTCCGGTCTGCTTGCTGATCTTGGCCCATTTTCCCGCACAGATGATCTAGCTTGGCCAAAGCCAGCAGCAAACTGGCTTAATTCACTTTTGAATACACAGTGTAAACACAGGCCAAGAGAATATATCAGAAAGTGCTCAGTGGAACACAACACATTAGAAAAGTGGATCAAGAAGTAGAATCTAAATACGAACAGCCCACCCAGAATGACAGGAAGAGCCTTAGTATCCATTCACCTGAACTTGTACAGAAGAGTAATCTTCGAGAATAAAACCAATCCCGAACCAGAAAAACCCTCCATTCCCCGCCCCGCTGCCCCCACCCACACGCCGCACCCCGGTGGAATTTAGAGAGGGAGAAAGAGACCTAAAAAGCAGCCTCAGACTTGTGGGAGAAGTTAAAATCGTCAAGGTTTTGATAAAGGGCAGAGAGTGCTCAGGGCCAGGGGGAGAGAGCTTAAATCTAAAACGAATGGAATTCCTGCTTCAACTGTGCAAATAAATAGAAATAACTTTTAAAACCTCCAGGGGACTTATTAGCAGTTTGTATCTAGGGAGTGATGTTTCAGCCATTAAAGATTTTATTAGAAGGGTCCTCTTTAGAGGCTGGAGAACCTGGTTACAGTTTTCTAAGATTGCTGTATGTTTTGCTAATGTCCTGGTTCTGATCTCATTAGGAGAGGTCATTTTAGGGCAAGCTACATTGAACCCGGTTAACTAGGAAGTAATTATTCTAGGGCCCTAACAGTTTGGTTCAAAGCAAACCAAGGCCTCCTCGGGCAGCAGCATAAGAGCCTGGCCCCCTGAGTGCTCCTGCTACTTCTGTTTTTTTCATCCTCACCCGAGGACATTTTTGCATTTATCTTCAGATAGAGCGGGAGGGAGAGAGGGAGGAAGCGAGAGAGAGAAACATTGATGTGAGAGAAACACATCGAGTGGTTGCCACCCACACGACCCCAATTGGGGCCAGGGACAAACTGCCACCGAGGTACATGCTCTTAGCGGGAACCGAACCTGGGACTCCCCAGTCCATGGGCCGATGCTCTAACCGCTGAGCCAAACCAGCCAGGGCTCCTGCTACTTCTGTACAGTACACATTTTAGGCAGGAAGAGAACCCTGTGAAGAGGTGCTTTTAGCTCAACATTGGGTTGTCAGGTCACCCCCTTCTAGAATATTTCGACTAAAAAGACCATTTTCCTTTGCCAACTGAAGGTTTAGAAGCAGTGGCATAGCTAAGCCTCATTTGTCCCTCTGCAGCATTTTAGATATTTCTCCATTAATTTCAAAATGAGTAGCTCTCACCCTGACAGTTTGGCTCAGCAGTGAGAGCATTGGCCCGTAAACCAGAGTCATGGGTTTGATTCCCGGGCAAGGGTGCATCCCTCAGTTGCAGGTTCGATTCCTGATCGGAGTTGTGTGGGAGGCAGACAATCGATGATGTGTGTCTCTCACATCTATCTAAAAACAAAAATCAATGGAAAAATATTATGGGGTTAGGATTAACAAAAACAACAACAAAGGAGTTAAAAAACAAATACGAAAAGAATCGCTCTCGAGCGAAGAGCCCAGAGAAGAGCCCTGGCGGGTTGTTCCTCCCTAAGAAGCAGCTGTCCTGCCTGTGCCTTCACTAGCATTTCAGTTCATTCTCAGGACTCGAGCCCTGGCAACAAGGAGCCTTTTCTGGGAACTCAGAGGCTCAGGTGGTAGTCTCCTGTCCGTGTGGCACTCGTGGGCCTGTGATTTCCGACGTGAGCAGACCTGCTCTCGGAGGAGCCGGGACCACTGAACAGATAGGGGTGGTGCAGGACTCACTGTCCGCCCTGAGTGGGACTGTGGGACTCTCGGCTGCTGGGAGAGAGCTGTCTGGGTCCCCTGTAGCTTTCCGTCGATGACAGGGAAGGCAGGCACTTGGTCACTCACATGAGTTTTGACTTTCCCTTTTGGCATTTAGAGAAGCACCCATATCTTGTCCGTCAGCCTAGACGGTGGTGGAGACAATGTTTCTGTACCGACGCCCCAGACTCCTGTTTAAAAACTCACAATGCTGGTTGCTTTTTAGCGTGTGTGGCTCTGAATCAACGCAGACAAGTGACAAATTGGCTGGTGACCGTGGAAACGCACACGGAGCCCGCACCCCCAGTTCTAGGCACGGTGGTCTATGGGAGACGCCTCTTTCTTCGTACACCAAGCTACTTTGCAACTCTTTTCTCCTAACGCTCAGTGACGTTCCATTAGGAGCCAGCGAGGGAGAGAGAAATGACCCTTCTGTGCCGGCTGGTCTAGCGGAATGGGCCAGGCTGTGTTTACGGCACTCCGAGGCCAATTTGGGCCTGCACAGCGCCAAGTGCGCTTCCTTAGCAGAAAGGCCGGTGCCAAAGGCTGTTAACAGACTCGACTCCGGCAGGGTTCTTGGAAACCCTGAGCAGAACGGAGGTGAAACGTCCTGCCGAGCTTGGAGTGGTGAGAGACACGCGCCTTGGATGACGCTCATTTCCCACATGTAACGTGGACACCTCAGGCTAAGGCAGGTCTTCGCAGTTCCTGGTTCATAAGGGGGAAAAGGAGACCTGACAGAGACGTGCTTAAATATCCTCAGTGCTTATACCAGCGTTTGGGGTAGTGTTTTCCTCCTTTAAAGTATTTCCTAACTGCACAGTTACATCTTGCATTGTGAAAGCAATACAACAGTGTTAAAAACATCTGCTTTGGGCAGTGTGAGAAATAGAAACATCCTTTCCCAAACCCTACTGACACGCAGCTCTGACGTGCCCTGGGCTTTCCTTCCGCGGGGCAGTCCCGCTCCCGGACCGGTCAGTGAGAGTTACAGGCTGTGTTTGTGTCTTCTTAGGACAAGGTGAATCAGCTGGAGATTGAGCTGGAAGAAGAAAGAAATAACTCGGACTTGCTGTCTGAGAGGATCACTCGAAGCAGGGAACAGGTACTGTATGTAATGGGTGGTGAGTGGACTGTCCCGCGTGAAAAAGGAAATGTGGGAGGTCAAACCCGAGGATTCAGCTGGAGGAGGGGAAGAAGGTTCATGCCTTCTGGAAATGATGGAAGGCTGCATAGTCATCACCAGAGTAAGCTACTGGGAGGGAGGTGTAATATATAACATACGTTGCAAAGTGGATGCTTCCAGAATGGTTATGGATAACAGTCCATTAGTCGTAACAGGCAAAGTGCTTTCAGAGCCGAGGCCGTAAGAATCATTAGTCAGCGAGCCGTCGTGAGATCGGGTCACTGGCACTGCGTTAGCGCGATGGGAACGAAATCGGATGCGCCTTTTATTTGAAGGACTTGACATGCTAATTAGTACACAGTTCACAGCACAGTAACAGTACCTTCCAAGTGATTGCTTTTTGCAGTTTTGAAAGGAGTTTAACTTAACGGTTGATTCTTACAGTAATACTGAGGGAGAGCCGGGAACAGTTCACCCTGTCCTCGCCCTATAGGTAATGGAGCTAATTTTCCAAACTATACTTAGTGTAATTGCAAGGGTGTTAGATGTAGTTTCCACATTTCATTAAGGAGAAGTTCAGAGTGGTTAAGTCATATCCTGGAGATGCAGAATCACCTCCCTAGAGACTGGTGACCATGTCCCCACTGCGTGTCCAAGCCACTCGAGAGAGCAAACGTGCCGACACTGTGGGGCAAGGATGCAGAACACTCGGTGGCGGTGTGAGAACTCACATTCCCTCATCTCAGCCTTTCATTTGCACGACGCCTGGGTGCTGTGGAAATGGGGTGTGCTTTCATCGACAGCTGAGTTGTGTGTCTTGCTCCGGAAGATGGCGCCAGAGAAACTGGACATAGACATTTAGAAAACTCTTCACCTCTTGATTTGTCCTGGGCACATTCTTAATTAAACAGTGCAAACAAACCCCAAAAGTCTTGGGTGGTGCCGAGTAAAACTAAGGAAATTATCTATGTAACGGACTGACAAAAAAATCTGAAATGTAAATTAATTTTTGCAAACTCTTTCACCTTGAAAGAAGCACTGTCCTCTGGTCACTCTTACAATTTCTCACGTTCACCCCCCCCATCTCAGGGTTCCAGTGCTTGAGGACAGTGCCATTCTGAGCTGGGACCCTCTACCCAAAGTTGAAGGGGAATCACTGGCTCTTTTCCAACTGCCATTGTTCCCCTGTTGACAGGTTCTTTGCAAACAAGTAAGATAGTCTTGCTGCTTTGCTCCTGAGGGTGAAGGAATTTCCAGCTGGAGGCTCCATCCACCCTCCCCCGAGCTCCGCTTCTGCCCGCATGTTCCACGCTGTGCTCCTTGGTCCCTCTGGAGGGTGGCCGCCCCTCCAGCCTGAGCTGCCAACATTTAGAGAAAGACCCTCATGAAAACCTGGTGTCCAGATGGAGTGCCCAACTGTGACCTCTGAACCCTAGCAGGTTCTTACTATAAAGCCTGCATTTTCTAAGTTCTCTCACTGGCAAAAAAGCTATTTTGTTATCCAGCCTGACTAAGTAGCCACGTTACCGCAGGGCATGTCGGGATCTGCTAAGCATTTACGATGAGAGACCAAGTGGCCGTGAATCTGTTTTGCTAATGCTTCTTGTGACTTGTGGCAGGAGGAATGGTGGGAAAGCATGCCATCCTGTCAGCCACTGGACAGTTGAAACAGGCTTCCAGACAAACTGACCCCTCGGGTCAGCCGATGACCCTACGCTCAGAAAGTGATCGCTTAGGTCAGTTTGCTTTTGGGCCCTTGCTACTGTTCTCAGCCGAACGCTGGGGTCCCGGGGAACAGAACTGCCTCCAGGCTGTGGTTGCAGCTGGAAGTATTTTCCCTGAGCCCAGAACCTGAAGTAAGCCAGGGAGGAAGTTACAGAACTAACTTGGTCTACTGGAAAGAGCACTGGGCTGCGAGTCTGTGTCTGTCCAGGAAATTCTGAAGGTTTTTCTTACTTCTTTTAAAAATTATTTTATCGTCCTGGCCAGTTTGGCCCAGCGGTTAGAGCATTGGCCCGTGGACCAGAAAGTCCCGGGTTCGGTTTCCGCTAAGGGCACGTACCTCGGTTGCAGTTTGTCCCCGGACCCAGTTGGGGTCGTGCAGGTGGCAGCCACTCGATGTGTCTCTCTCATATCAATGTTTCTCTCTCTCTCTCTCTTCCTGCCTCTCTCCCTCCTGCTCTATCTGAAGATACATGCAAAAGTGTCCTTGGGTGAGGATTAAAAAAAAAACGCAACATTTTATCTTGTTAATCCTTACTGGAGGGTATTTTTCCATTGATTTTTAAATAGAGTGGAAGCGAGGGGGGTGGAAGGGGGGGGGAGAGAGAGAGAGACATTGATGTAAGACAGACACATTGATTTGTTGCCTCCTGCATGTACCCCGACAGGGGCCAGGGATCAAACCTGCACCCCAGGTACGTGCCCTTGACTGGGAATCAAACCCATGACCGTTCATTCCATGGGCCAATGCTGTAACCACTGAGCCACAGCATCCAGGGCAGTTTTTCTAATTTCTAACACTGACATGCTGGGAGAAGGTTTTGTAAAACCCCAGCTGTCTGAGTCGCCCTTTAATTCCCCCGTTCCCTCCCTGTATCTGACCCGACGAGATGACTTTCACACCACCGGCCTCTGTGCCCCGTTAGCTCCTTCCTTCCCTTTCCGTCTCCGCTGCGCTCTCTGGGGCAGGGAGGGTGCAGCCTGGTGCCTGCGGTAAGTGGGGAGCGCAGCACCGAGTTCTAACTGATGTCGGAATGGCCAAGGCAACACAGAGCAAAGCCCTGAGATAGTGCTGCCTCCTGACCCAGGGCCCAGGCCTCCCTCCCGGCCTGTGTCGCCTGGGGTTCGAGAAGGGCAGGCGTGGACTGACCATGACCTGCCTCCCAGGAAAGCACCTCATTCTTATTCCAAGTCAAAGCCCGTGCGAGGCCCCTTAAAGGAAGGGCTCTGAGGACAGGGCCCTGGGTGTAGACAACGGGCCCTGATTGTGAAGGTGTTTCAGTGCACTTGGCGAACCTTTAGGGCCTTGTGCCCGCCGCCTTCCCCCCAGAATCGGAGCAGCAGGGAACTTCACACCCGGGAACTTCACACCCGGCCCCTCACAGCGGGCCTGTGCTGCCTCCACAGACGCCCCCTATGGCACAGGACGCGCCCCTCTGTCCTCTCCAGCCTGCTCTCTCCCGGCCCTGGACGGCCCTGGACGCCCAGCAAATTCTGCTCCGTACTGTAAAGGGAAGTGTGGGGAATTTTATTTTTTGGATCTTCCTTTTTAAAAATTTAAATGTAAAAGTTTATGGCTTTACTTAAACTCTGCATTCTCACAAGCTCCTCTTCTATCTCTTTACTTCCCCCAAACGCCTCCCGTTCTTTTTCCTGGTCTTAGCCATAGGGCTCAGGTGGAAAAGCTAGAAAAAGGGGGTTTCCAGTAGTATCACCCAGCGGCCGGCCCCTTTCTGGGAACCCGAGGCCTGGCAGGGACTCCGCCGTCGTCAGCTGGGCGTCCTGCGTGTGGAGGGAGATCTGAGCCCCAGGACTCTGCGGTGCGGCCAGGTCACATGGCCACTGCAGAGGGGCCTTAGGTCTCTGGACTCCCAAGACAGTGCTCCGTCTCCCAGTGCCTGAGAAATGTGACAGACACCTGCTGTGCGCATCGCATCGCAGTAAAGCTGTAAAACTATCCAAAGCAGGTCCTGTCCTGAGGTGCTGTGATTGGCTGGAAGCAGGCCTGAAATGGATAACTAACGAGAAAAAGCAGCAGCTACTCAACGCCGAGTGAAGGGCGCTAACGAGGAAAAGATTATCATAACGAGACTGGAAGGGTTCTCAGAAAAAAGGGTAAGGTTTAGACAGACCGAGAGGGGTGGGAACGGGGTCCTAGAAAGGGTGGTGTGAGCCAGGATGGAGAGGTAGGATGGACACTGAGGAGCAATGAACTGTGGCTTGATCGGCTTCTGGTTTCCTTAAGGGAATAACAGGAGAGGCAGATTGAGAGGTTTTTATTTTTTTAATTGATTTTTAGAGAGTGAGGAGAGAGAGAGAAACATGGATTAGTTGCCTCTCTTACACACCTGGATTGGTGATCGAACCCACCACCTTTTGGTGTACGAGATGAAGCTCCAACCACTGAGACACTCGGCCAGGGCTACACTGGCTTTGGTCTGTTTAAATCTAGAGAATCCTTCTTTCTCTTCTTCCTCCCGAGCTGTGTTTCCATTTATGACAATCGCCGCTGTACTGGAGATTCTCGGGATGCTGCGTGCCCTGGCCTGGCACTGACGTTCAGAGGCCGGAGAGGCTAAGCGGCTGCCTGGGGTCACACAGCTTGTAAGGCGCGGGGCCGCAGTTGGACTCCAGAACCTACTGCCTCCCACCTGTCCCCAGCACCCCAGCACCAGACTGTAAGGGTGACGCCCCGCAAATCATTTGGGGTCTTTATCCCCAAGTTAATACGGATGAGGATTTACATCCACCCGATCCTTCGTCCTGTCCTCATGAGTCCAGGGTTCAGATGGCAAAAGAGAGGCCCAGCTTGGTGTGTTTTAAATGTGTTCGGTGTTGAGTGCAAGTGGTTCAGAGCAGCGCTGGGCCTAGATGGAGAGGCGTTCCGTTGGCCGTGGAGGCAAAGATGACCTAGCCCAGTGGAGAGACGATTCATCCAGCCCAGGCAGCTGGCAGGCAGGACAAAAAATACCAACGTGAGAGCTTCGGTGGCTTCATGGTCTTTCCAGGGGATGCTCGAGGCTGCTCAGCTGCCCCGGCAAAGTCTCTGGCTTCTGCCGTCACTGTAAGGAGCTGCTCCCCAGTGGCCGGCTCACACCTGCTCCTCAGTCTGCACCGCAGGGGTCGGGGCTGGGAGATACGGCTCCACCATGCAGTCAGCGAGTAAAAGATCAAAACGGGATTTCTTTCTGTTTTTTAGTGAAAACGAACCTCGTCTCAGCACTGCCTCCGTTATATCAGCTGTTCAGAAACCCCGT